GGTGCAGTCTCCAGCTTGGCTGAAAACATAATTCACTGTATTACTGTATTGATGTTTGTATAGTAAAAAAAAAAAAAAGCATCTGATAGCATTTTAGAAGAAAAAAGCAGCAAAACTCAAAGATCCAATAGGTTGAGAGACAGAAGATTTTACAGGGAAGGAGAATTCAGTCAACAGGCTTCATATATACATTCCCTTGCTCGTACAGTAGTTCTGAATTAAGAAAAAAGCAAGAATTTAAAGCTCCCTGGTAATTTCAACCCCATAGAAGCCGTGGTTTTGCTGCGTGCCCACTGCCTTGTTTTGCCATTGCATGTACTGGGCCTGTCCCATGCACAGACAACTTTGCATTTTAACATTTCCACTCCCAAGGAGAAAAGCCTGGGCCAAAGTCCATACTGCATCTGCAGGTGCTAAGTTTTCCTATTTCAAACCTATTCCTGCTCTTCCTGATGGTAATTCAGAGGTTTGTTTTTTTATTTAAATGACATGACACTCATCACTTAGGATGGATTGCCATGTCCACCTGTATTACTCCTCTGCCACTATGCAGTACATCATCAGCCTCTGCACTGCCCAGAAAATCAAGCAATAACTATCACAGCACCAGATTCAGCTCACTTTTATTTCCTGGAAAATGGATGTTTGCTGACTGCAAACCTCTGCAGGGAAAATGACACTTGCACACCCTCCAGGTTCCACGAATATTAGTTTGTTTTGTTGTTCCTCTTAATATTCATGAATAGGTTGCTTGATTTCCAAATGCCTGGCATGAGTTTGGGAAGAAACAAGCTATGCTATGGTTTAAGTGACCAGCTGTGTGACTGTCAAAGACAGCTATGGTTTATTAAAAGCTTTGAGGAGTAATTGGAGTAAATTACATAACACTTGGAAAATATAAATTAACCTGTAAAAATCACAAAATTAGGAAAGCACTTTGGTTACTGAAGAGGAGGATGGGTCATCCCAGCCTGGGCTTTACTCTCTGTAAAGAGTGAAGCACATCAGAACATCTCTGTGCTCTTCCCATGGACGCACCATGGTGACTTTCTCACTGACCCCAAAATCTCCCACAGCCAACAGCATCTTTCTTTTGGGTTTATTAGCATTATCCTGCCTGTAAGTGGTGCAGCCTCCTCCCAGTTTTACCAGCAGCCTCACAGCTCAGTACCCAAAACCACAGCTCTAAGTTGTCCAGACTGGGCAGCACGGATTTGAGAAGAAATTCTAAGATCTTAAAATAGCCCACAAACCTCACCTGGAGATTGTTATAAGTACATATTATATTATTGGCTTGGCACAAATATTAAAATGATTGCTATATGATATAGCTTCTTTTAGTTCTGTTATTAACAAAACTTAGAAATAGCAGTGTGATAAATATATTTTTCTTGGACTACAACACGGTGACACAAAATGCTTTTGTTCATGTAACTAACTCAGAGAATGGTAAAAAGATAATCAGGAAATTCTTCACATTCTTGTATTATCCTATGTGGATGAAGATAACCAGAACTCCAGGGAAGGAATTTATTGATCTGGGAGTAGCCAAAGGGATGGTGCCACAAAAAAGTTGATTTACAGGTTAGGGGGGATGATTTTGAATAATGAATAAAGGTCTATGAATATTCAACAGGTTGATGCGTTTAAAGAAGTGTTTTCGGAGTTAGTGTGTCCTCTTGGCTGGAGACCAAGCAGCCGGCCCTATATTCTTCTGTTATTATTTGTCTCTTATTGTCTTTTATTAAACCTTTTAAAATTTACCAGGAAAGTGAACCTGGTTTTTCACGGAGATAAACCTAAAATGAACCACATCTAGTGGAGCACATCCCTGCTGATCTGTGCTGTGCAGCAGCCTCTGGAGCGAGGTGGCTCCTGCTCTCCACATGTAAACAGCACAATTTGCTCCTGTGCCAGCCCCGGCTGCAGTGCAGGTTGTTATAGTTACTGCTGTCACCTACCCCTGCCATTGTCACTGCATTCCCGGTAAACGCCGCTTCCACAGCAGCCTAGAAAGGTTTGCAGGATAATGACTCATAAAAATCCTCTTAATAACAGGATCCGAGCCTCTGAGCCGCCCAAACCCTTCACCCCCTTCTCCCTCACATCACCAGACCCTGGTTCTCTCGCACAAGGGGCACAGCAAAGGTCACTGCGTGTGCTTGAAAGGTTTTGAACTTCTGCTCCCTGGAAAGGTCACGGTGCAGGTGGAAAAGCAGAGCCCTTCCCCTCGGGCAGCTCTCAGAGCCGGGTCTGGAGCTCTGTGGCTGGTGATTGAACCTTTGCAGGTCCAGCCCGAGAGGGACCACGGGTTTCTGCCTTGTTTTGGGTGTCTCTCCTGACCAGACCCAGCCTCTGTAGCTCCACAAGAGGCTGGAAACCAGGCAGGCTGTTAGAGCTGCTGTCAGGATCGTGGCACGGTGATAAGATACACACCCATGAAATGGATTATGCTGGATGATGCTGCTCAGCTGCTTTTGAGATGCAAAGACAACAATTAACAGAGCTGACGTGAGCAGACGCAAATAGGCACAGCTCTCCATGCCCAGCAGCCAGAGAGACACACCAGGCTCGGGCAGAGAGGCAAAAAAGCTGCTCAGAGCAGGAAAATGGAACCAACAGGTCCTCCCAGAGCCCAGGTTCGGGTGCATGAACATTTAATACAGAGCAATCAGAGGATGCTGCTCCTGCACCTCTGCCCAGAGTGCAGCAGAGACAGCCAGTCCCTGATGGCCACACACGAGCCAAAAAGCTGTCCCCACACAGGCTCGTGTAGGCAGTCTGAGCCCTCTGTACATTTAATTAATAGATTATGCTCAACCTAATATATAAGAAGTGCAGCGATACCATCTCATAAATTTCACAGCCAGACAGAAACCTTCCTATGAGGTGCGATTTTTTTGTTACTACTGGAACAAAAAGGCAGAGCTGCTACACGTTTTAGAACATCTAAGTAGCTGATGAGGACAAAGGTGTGCTAATCTGCTTTATCAGGTGCTTTTTGTGAAAGCAATTAGGTGTGGGGTTCCCAAAGGACCTTCTGAGGAAGGGTGCAGCAAGGACAATTAATGAATGTATATTGATACTGCTGTGGAATTAGCATCACGAGCTTGTGTTCAGAAACCCCTCCTATAACAGCTTTGTGATTTGACAAAATAACCAACTTTGGCCCAGCTTGTCCTATCATTACACATGAAATAAATGTTCATCACCATCACTGCATGGCAGTGAGTGAAACAGCTGAAAGGAAAGTCCAATCCTGCAGCCCCTTACCAGCAAACACCTCCTGTAGTCTCCAGAAGAGCCTGAACCCCAGCCAGGGAAGTTAATCCGAGTTTGTTCATAGAACCCTGCACCCAGCCAGTGCTAGTTTAAAATACACTGACGAAATCTGGTCTTGCAATAAACCTTGTAAATAAAGCTGAAACTGGAACTGAATCTTTTCTCCCCCACACATGCTCTCCTCCAACTTGTAAACCCTGCAGCAGATACAATTCTAGCTACAGAAGGAGAGCTGGCACAGAGATAACAAAAAATGGAACAGGCCTACTATGAAATGGATCACTGAACTAGAGACACTGGAGCTGAATTCCAGCTGTAATATATCAACCTCATTTCACAGACCTCTGTCTGTCCAGTTAAGCCAGCAGGGCTGTGGATTTGAGTGGACACAAGTTTTGGTATTCAAGGGATGTTACAGAAATCCACACGAATCCCATCACTTGCCTTCCATGACATTTCAGGGGAAACTTGTCATTAGCCTGCTATTATCAGTGGCAATTCCTCACATTACTGAAAAAACTTTTTTATTCTGCTTGCTGTCCTGTTGAGCTGCAGGATGCTCAAATTTCTAGAAGACCAAGGAAAAAATGACTCATTCTTAATGGATGGTCTGTATTTTGCTACTTGCATTTTGTCAGACTAAAACTCAGTGCTAACATTTCCATTTTTAGGTCAGTTAGAGGAGTTTCGTTATCTGTCTAATTTTTAAACCACACGGTAGAATCACATTGCTACAGCATGCACAATGCTGCCATTTCTAAATAATAAGTTGAGCATCTTGAATTCTGTCAGGGTTGATCCTTATTGTTTGCTTTGGCTATGTAAAATTACTATTGAAAAACTATGTGCTAAGGGGCCTGTGCATTGAAAACATTTTCTTCTATGATTGACTGGTATTAATTTTTCACACACAGGGGGATGTGTTCCCTTCTAAAGGAGGCTTGATATATAAGGATTACCCAAGTTTTGGATGTTCCTTTCTAAGCAGTGAATATGCAAAGATTATCAGTGGTCAGCAAGGGATAAAATTATTCTCATTATTGGCAGTAGTGCTTACAAATGAGGAAAAAAAGAGGAAAACCAGAAAAAAACAGTTGAGGTAGTGAAATAGGTGACACTTGAAGTGACAGGATTCAGACTGGGTGTTTTTTCCACAAAGATCCTTATGTAACTTAGGGATGGCTTTGCAGCTAAGGATCCTTCCTACAAGTCACTGCTGTGAGTTATGTCCTGCCTCAGCATTTCTGCCCTGGAGCTCTCTGGAGAGGGAGACCAAGATGATCTGTGTGCACTACAGCAAAGGACTGAAACCCAGCAGACTGTTTGTTTGCTTGCAGTTGTAAATAAGCTTGTGTGCTTTCAGGATTTACTTATGAAAAGCAATTCCACTTAATATCAGCACAACAGCATGGCAATAGTTCATATTTACAGATTGTAATATAATTTCAGAGAGCCACAAATTCCTTTAGAAAGCGCTCGTCTATAAATCAACCTATAAATCAGTGTGTCCACAAACACTGTGGGGCTGGAAAGAACACCGAGTAAAAGAGAAAAAACTCAGTGTTTGAGTCAGGCAGAACATGTTTGCTCAGGCTGGAGAATTACCATCCAAACAGGACTGCTGTGGGCATTTAAAGCATCAAGGGCTCTGCTCTGAGCAGCAGCACTTTCCTAAGGCAGGGTAACATCTCAGAACTGAACAGGAACACCCAACCAACCTGTTTTTCACCACTGGGCTTCCTGTAGTTGAGCAGCAGCTCCACAGCTCCCACCACCTCCTTCCGTATGGCGTAGAGCAGAGCATCCCCCACGTAGACGCTGTGGCTCAGCAGCAGCTCCATGATCTCCAGGTTCTCATTCTCTATGGCTATGAGGAGGGCACTGCGACCCAGAGGATCCATGCAGTTGATGTTGATGTTGTAGTAGATCTCTGCCTCCTGCAGGGCATGTTTGACGCTGGCATAGTCGCCCTTCTCCACGGCACTGAGGTAGGCTTTCTCTTCCGACGAGAGCTCTGCCTCCGCTCGCACGATCTGCAGTGGGATCCGGTCTCGGTACGGGGAGAAGTTGACTTTTTTGTAGTATAGCTGGGCCATGGTTCATAGTGACCAGGCAAGCTGTGAGGGAGGAGAGCCACGCATCAGTGACAGCACAGCCTCACAGGGGACAAACTTCCAAAGGCTCATCACGGGAAAAGTCCCCATCCCTTTTTAAGATGCTGTATCCTTAACGCCCCCCTGAGCTCCCCATCCCTTTTTAAATGTTGTATTCTTAACATCCCCTCTGAGCTCCCCAACCCCTTTTAAGATGTATTCTTAACACCCCTCCTGAGTTCCCCATCCCTTTTTAAGATGTTTTATTCTTAACATCCCCCCGGAGTTCCCCATCCCTTTTTAAGATGTATTCTTAACACTCCTCCTGAGCTCCCCATCCCTTTATAAGATGTACTCTTAACACCCCTCCTGAGTTCCCCATCCCTTTTTAAGATGTTGTATTCTTAACATTCCCCCTGAGCTCCCCATTCCTTTTTAAGATGTTTTCTTCTTACCCTTCCTGCTGTGCTCCTCCTTTTTTTTTATGTTGTATTCTTAACACCCCTCCTGAGTTCCCCATCCCTTTTTAGGATATTGTATCCTTAACACCCCTCCTGAATTCCCCATCCTTTTTTAAGATGATGTATTCTTAACATCCCCCCTGAGCAACCCCACCTTAAAGGGCTACCCGAAAGCATAAATGTGGCACCACTACTCACAGTGACAGAAACTCAGTTTAATTTTTTTATCTTGTTTAAACACTACACCATTGATGTCTTTTGTCTGGTCAGAAGCGTGATCTGGATGTTTATGGGTAATCTACCACATGCCAATAGGTGGATTTCTCATCTTTGCTTTATTTCCCACTCAAAGTTCTTTTCATTTCTTCCATTTCCACTGCTAAGCCAGCATCTCTGAACTGTCAGTGATGGGAGCTGCTGATTTACACCTTCCTCTTTACAGTAATAGATTCATTTTGAACATTTTTGCTGCTGCTTCTCTGCTTCCGTGTCCTAAAACAGTCTTTTATTTTTCCTTAGTGTTTACTCTTTGACTAGGTCATGGTTTTATTTTTAAAGCTTGCATGTTTTTAAACATTTTTTCTCACTCTCCTCATTTATAAATAGGACCTAAAAACAGGCTGATGTAGAAAGCTCCCACCCTTGTCTCCAAAGGCAGCGATGTTGTTTTGTGGTCTAGGAAAACGAGAAGTAAATCCTGCCTTGGAACAAGTGCAGCAAACTGAATGAACTGAGCTTCCTTCCCACGCCTCAAAGATCCCAGCAGGTGACTGGAATCATAGGAAACATGGGCTGGGTATTCACAGGTAAGGAAAAAAAGAACCAGGCTTGTCTACCTCTGCTTGGCATTGACAAACGACAGCAGGTCAGCACCAGGGGCCACCAGCAGCTCTGACTAATTGGGTGACTTATTCCATCTCCTTGTCCAATGCTCAGCAGCTTCCTGCAGCAAATTAGGCAGAGTTTTGGTCCATTGTAGTGCCCTATCCTGGGGGAAAAGGAGGTGCTGATAAAAGGTGATGAGGAGGAGGCTGCAGAGGGACCGGGGTTCTGCAGGTACCCGGCTGCACTCCTGCCTTTCCAGAGTGGGTGGATCTGAGCTCCAGCCCAGCTGACACTGCAGAACGGTGGGTGGCTGTAGCAGACAGCAAAGCTGCATCTGTGAACTTGCTGGGGAGCCAGGGATCTGTACCAGCCCGTTTGGCACCTCGGGGAATGAGCTCACTCAGGATCAGCTCTCCTCCAAGTGCGAGAGGAGTTTGTGTTTGTTACACACCCAGAGATGCTGTCACACTGCTCACACGTGCCCCTCTGCACAGGCAGAACCACAGAATCCAGTGATTCAACCTCGAGACACACACAAAGGCACTGGAGGCAAAAGGACCCATAATCTGATTAGAAACCATAAATATATTGGCTTATTTTCTACAGGAGCATTATGCCACTAAAGCTTTTGGAACTAAGGAAGAATCTCAGTGACTCAGAAGCTTCAAGTTTCAATAAACTGCATGAAGAACCAACTACTCTGATTTTCTGAAGCACCAAGAATCACAGGTCATTTTCAAATTTTGCTATTGAAAACATCATTCCTCTGGGATCCAGCTGGTTCCCAGTGAAAACTGACAGGAGAAAGAAGGATGCAGCACAGGTCTGGTAACAACTAAGGACCAAAGAGATCTTTGGGACAAAGTAAGGACAAACCCAAATGGGAAGGAAATGTTGTCCTTGTGTGACAGTCTGGCTGATGGGAGCAGGGAACACCAACCAGTGGGACTGGTGCCAGAGGACAGCAGCCACTGGGTAAAGGTCTCCTGGGGGAATCTGTTGGCTCCAAAATCATAAGGGATTCTGGCAACAAGTGGAGCTGCTAAAGTGGAATTGGATATTTTTCACTGCTCTTTAGTTTAATTGGACGTTTTGTAGATGGTGAGTAACATTTGCAATGAGTTATAACAAATGTCACCTTATGAAACATCATGCCAGCCTTGGATCCCTTTCCTTCCCAACAGTTCAGTAGAAAGAAAAGAAAGCTTCAAGTATCTTAACTCCTCAGTGAGATCTCATCTCCCAGTACAACCCCAGCCAAAGAAAGCCAGTAATGTTAATACCTCAAACATATAGGAAGCTGCAGTAAAACCAAACAGGAAAGACTCACTAAATCAATGATCTTCCTGAATTCCTCTCATGCCAACACCTGCATAGCCTTACAAACACATGGTGCTGACTGTGTTTGGGAATAACAGCAGGCAGGATTAAAAGAAAATAATAAAAATGTCTGCCTGGGGTTCATGGAAGATTTCAGCAAAACCTTTATCTGTTGAGCTGCCCTTCAGCCAGGGATCCAGCATAATTTACAGACAGACCCTCCAAACCTGATGTCTTCGTCAATCAAAATTATTTAAGAAAGCATCAGTCAAACCTGTGGATGGAATGAATGAGCACAAGATCCCTGCTCTAGCTGTCACCTCTCAGCACCACCAGTCCCCCCGGGGCAGCATCTCTTGGTGAAGCAGACAATTCTGGGAGGCCCTAAGCACTTGTGTTTCCCAGACTGGTCCTGTCTCCTGCTTAACAGCTAAAAATTACAAATATATTGATGAAATCCAGGGGAAGGAAATGCACAGGTGCTGCCTAGAGAGAAGCAGCAGTGACATTCCTGAAAGGTAGCAAAAATAGAAACACAGTCACACTAAAATTTTGGAATCGGTGCAGAGAGCCTGAAAACACATGTTTTCCATATGAATTCTCTTCACAGAGAGGCATTTTCTCCTACTTGGGTTACTATTTGGGGCAAGGAAAATTCTTCCCAGCCTATTCCTGACTGCAGATGCCTCAGCCAATATCCAGTGATGGCTAATGCAGTGGTGATACCTGCACCACAAGCAGGTGGAGAGAAACAAGAGAACCATAACAAGAGAAATAGAACAAACTACTGAAGATACAGGCAGGAGGACTTAGCACTCAGTTTGGACTCTATCATCTCTCTCTCCCTGAATTATTAATCCAAATCTCCAACCCTTTTCAGCCTGACACCACTTCTGTGGTGCCTGCCACAAGAAACCAGAGTTTTTGCCCCTGAAAAGCAGCCATACCTGGCAGGAACAGCTAGCCTGGTCTGGGGAAGGAAAGTTTCTGGCTTTTTGCCACTAAAAATTCCATGAGTTGTCACTGCAAGAAGTTTTTAGGGTCTGTTAGGAGTTGAGCCATCCCTCAGTTCCCACTTTACACACCCCTGTCTCAGGGGAGTCAGAGTGACCTGGATGAAATGAGATGAGCAGAAATGAAGGGGAGGAAGCCAGAGCTGTAACAGCGGTGGGAGTTTTGCACCACTTAATTGGTGGTTTGTCTCAGTCTTTTTTGTTTTTACTCAGAGCTAGGATTAACAAAAACACGATGGAAACGTTTTTTCTTGTGTTTGGGCTTGGTTGTTTATTAAATTTTATTAGAAAGTACAGAGTGTTTGACACTACCTGCTAGAAGCGAGGAAAATGGAGAAAGATGCAGTTGCTATAAGGTTTTTTAAAGCCAGATAGTCTAATAGAGAATTAATACCTATATTATTTCTACTTGTAACTCAATAACTAGATTTTTATGACCCTTAGTGTGACACTGACTGACTAACCAGAAACTACTGCCTGAAACTCATGAAGAAAAATGAAAAAGAAGGAAGATGAACTGAACGAGACAACGCTCAAACCCCTCCATCTTTTCCCATACCTACTACTATACTATAAAACCCTCAAATTTAAAACCCATCACTATGTGAAATCACACACTTCTATTTCACTACACACCCGTGATTTTAACTCCATCACTCAAATTTGGAAGCCTTCTGCAAGGCCTCAGGTCAAAAGCAGTGTTTTCCAGAGGGTCAGTGCCTGGCAGCACAGAAAGCTCAAAACCCCCAGGTTTGTGGGATCCAACAAGAGCCACTTTCCAACCATGCATCACCAGGCCCATTATAAAACAGGACTTTCCTGGATTTTATTTGCTTTGATCATCAACATGAAGCTGATTCAGAGGTGGAAAAGCTCAGCTCCTGGTGGCTGAGCTCCCTCTGTAAGAGAGGCAGCAGAGGCTCCGGGGTATTGAATTTAGCTGCCAGCTGATGTGAGCACCTGACAGCCTGAGGAAATGATCAAACACAGATCTTGGACACAAGACCAACAGCAGAGTTACCTTTCCTGAGGAAATGATCAAACACAGATCTTGGACACAAGACCAACAGCAGAGTTACCTTTCCCACTTGCTGGGACTCTATCACACCTGAGAGCAGCCAACAAAGCCCCTCCACCTGCCAGAGCAGAGCTGGGTGTTCCCTCACACTGACAGAACCCAGCAAAACTCCGTGGGTGGCTTTAAATGCCACTCCTCCTTCTCTCTCAGACCTGACAAGGGTTTAGGTGCTGGAAAAGCCACCTGCATTTTCCAGTTGTATCAGCCCCATCAAAGAACTGACCCCTTGCAACACACCTCGCTTCACTGCTTCCCCCCATCCTTCTTGCCAAGGCTGTTTCTTCTTTTTAGTGTTTCAGGGAGAGC